AGTTGAGGCAGTTAGCTGGAGAATCCCCAGTGGAGCTTTATCTCCATGGATGAGCTTGCCATAGTAAAACTTCCAACTTCTCCTTCCTACCATAGGTATTTGTGTGTTAGGAGATCAACAACAATGTCGGTAGGAACTATTTGACCTTGTGGCAACTCCCAAGGACACAACGTTTTTGATACTCCCAGCCCTGTTGATTCTCCTTCCCTTGTTATGGAGCCATGGGCCCAGCCTGACACAGGTTATAGGGTTTGGGGGATGCCTTGCATAAAAACTCTTGGACTTGAAGGACACGTGAGAGCAATCCCACTTTCACAGTGAATTTAAACAGCACACAACCATCTACTGATTTAATGTCCTACTCTGTTACTCTCTGCCATCGTCCCTCGGGATAGACCATCTCATTGACCCTGGAATGAGGTAGGTAACTAGCCCCAGGGATTCTCCACACATACCAGTGTTAGGGTTACAGGTGTGTGTTCAGCCTTGCCTGGCTTTTGATGTGGGTACTGGGGATTTGAACTCAGGTCTTCAAGCTTCAGAGCAAGTGTTCTTACCCACAGAGCCATCTCCCTGACTGCTAAACTCTTTTTATGGGCAAGCATGCATATAACTTTCAGTCTGCCTTGGTAATGCTGTTCTCTCCTGACCCATTCTCCTGTCTTACTCATCCTTTAGCTCCCAAGAACAAAGTACATGCACTAAACATTTTACTTCTGAAGGTTGGGTAAGGCAAGGGTTAACAAAGGGGGTCCAATATGGCTGCTCCCTTTTTGCAATTGAAGATGTGGTGGGTCATGGGAATGCTCATTCATTATGTGCTGTGTATGGTTGCCTTTGTGCTCATGAGCAGAGTTGAGTGTTGTGACCTAGAGTAAGTGAAATCCAAAGCCCCTGACAGAAAAAGTCTGCCAACCCTGGTGGTAAGGCAGAAAGACTTCCATTTCCTAATTTTATTTGTTAAAAAGAAAAATGAAAGCAATAATAATAATAATAACTACATGATAGGCAACATGTCCCTTGTGGATTCTCCTCTGTCACGTGAGTTTTCTTTTAAAAGTGTTTTGGGGAAATGTCTTAAGAATATAAGTTCAAATGGATCAAAGACCTCAATATAAATCCAGCCACACTGAACCTCTTAGAAGAGAAAGTGGGAGGTACCCTTGAACGAATTGATACAGAATACCACTTCCTGAACATAACACCAGTAGCACAGACACTGAGATCGGCAATTAATAAATGGGACCTCCTGAAACAGAAGCTTCTGTAAGGCAAAGGACACAGTCTACAAGACAAAAAGGCAGCCCACCGAATGGGAAAAGATATTCGCTAATCCCACATCTGACAGAGGACTGATCTCCAAAATCTACAAACACCTCAAGAAGCAAGTGTCCAAAACACCAAAGGATCCAATTAAAAAGTAGGGTACAAAACTAAGTAGAGAATTCTCAACAGAGGAGTCTAAAATGGCTGAGAGACTCTTGAGAAAGTGTCTATCATCCTTAGCCATCAGGGAAATGCAAATCAAAACAACTCTGAGATACCATCTCACTCTTGTCAGAATGGCTAAGATCAAAAACACCAATGACAATTTATGCTGAAGAGGATGTGGAGAGAGGGGAACACTCCTCCACTGCTGGTGGGAGTGCCAACTTGTACAGCAACTTTCGAAATCAGTATGGAGATTCCTCAGAAAAATGGGAATCAGTCTACCACAAGATCCAGCAATTCCACTCTTAGGCATATACCCAAAAGATGCACATTCATACAACAAGAATGTCTGTTCCACTATGTTCATGGCAGCATTATTTGTAAAACCAGAACCTGGAAGCAACCTAGATGCTCCTCAACTGAAGAATGGATAGAGAAAATGTGGTACATTTACACAATGGAGTACTACTCATCAGAAAAAAAAAACAATGGTGTAAAGAGAAGCCTTTTCCTTTGAGAGAAGCCTTCCCGCCAGCCTGGTTCTAGAGCCGCATCAGTCCCAAATAAACACATGGGAGGCTATATTAATTATGAAGCTGTTGGCCTTGCTTGTTTCTTACTGGCTAGCTCTGACTTAAGTAATTACCCCATAATTGTTAATCTAAGTATTTCTCTTACCGGAGAATAGATCCGGGCTTCCTACCCCATGGCATTACATCTTGACTCTCTGTGTTTCTCCTACCCAGAGTCCTCCTGGACTCCTAGTCCCACCTATCTTGGTTCCCTATTGTCCCAACAGTGCTTTATTGACATAATCACAGGACTTCCTATATCACAATGGAATCCTGAAATTTTCAGGCAAATGCATGACACTAGAAGAAACCATCCTAAGTGAGGTAACCCAGACACAAAAAGACAAACACGGTATGTACTCACTCATATATGGATTTTATACATGAAACAGGGCCAGCCTGCAATCCCAGTGCCAGAGAGTCTGGGAAACAGGACCCTAAGAGAGATATGCATGGTACCCCAGAGAAGGAGAATGGGACAGGATCTCCTGAGGGGAATGAGAGCATGGGGGAAGGTGAGAGGGAGCTGGGAGAAAGAGAGGGGTTGAAGAGGGGAGAGGAGGACATGGGGGAGCAGAAAGGTTGAGTCGGGGGAATAATAGAGGAGAGCAGGGTGAGAGATTCCATAATAGAGGGAGTCATCATAGGTTTGAGAACAGATCTGGCACTAGTGAGGTTTCCAGAGATCTACAAGGATGACACCAACTGGCAATCTAAGCAATAGTGGAGAGACTTCCTTAAATGCCCTTCCCTGATAATGAGACTGTAGACTACCTTATATGCCATCCTAGAGCCTCCATCCAGTGGCTGGTGGAAGCAGAGGCAGACACCCACAGCTAAACACTGAACTAAACTCCTGGAATCCAGTTGCAGAGAGGGAGGAGTGATGAGAAAAGGAGTAAAGAGGTCAAGACTGGTCTGGTGAAACCCATGGAAATGGCTGACCTGAACAAGGGGGAGCTCATGGACCCCAGACTGACAGCTGAGAGGCCAACATGGGACTGATCCAGACCCCCTGAACGTGGGTGTCAGTGAGGAGGTCTCAGCATCCTTTGGGGCCTCTGGCAATAGATCAGTATTTATCTCTGGCATCCAAATGGACTTTGGGAGCCCATACCACATGGAGGGATGCTCTCTCAGCCTGGACACATGGGGGAGGGCCTAGCCCCTGCCCTGGGATGATATGACAAACTTTGGAGATCCCCCATGAAGGGCCTAACCCTCCCTAGAGAGTGGAGTTGGGATTGGTTGGGGGTTTGGTGGCATTGGGGGCATGTAGGAGGGGAGTGAGAAAGAGTTGAGATTGGCATTGATGCAAGCTTGTTTCTAATTTAAAATTTTAAAAAGCAGGCAAAAAAAAAAAAGAAGACTATGGACCAAGCCAGGCAGTGGTGTCATATGCCTTTGATTCCAGCACTCTGGAAGCAAAGGCAAGTGGATCTCTATGAGTTCCAGGCCAGCCTGGTCTATATAGAGTGAGTTCCAGGATGGCCAGAGCTACACAGAGAAACCCTGGCCCCAAAAAACAAATATTTATATTATTATTAGTAGTAGTATTACTATTATTATTATTATTGACCAAATATCATCTCATCAGCAAAGCATTCTGTTGTGACTTTGCCTTTTCTCTGTATCTACAGTTAGCAAGCTGCATGGGAGGAACCATGTCTGTCTCTTTGATAAGTCCTTGAGTTTCATAATGAAAAAAACCTGAGTATATTCCAGAACTCTGTTGGCCTAGGGGCTACAATGGCCTTATAACAATGAAGAGAAATATTCCTTCTTTATAATTTACAAAGTATCTCTCAACTATTTAACTAGAATCATTCTAGTTTTTCCTGAAACAAACTAGGGGATGCTACTCTCAGATCCCACTATAGATGCCCGTGAGCCACCATATGGCTGCTGGGAATTGAACCAGGACCTTTGGAAGAGCAGCCAGTGCTCTTAACCTCTGAGCCATTACTCCCAGCACTAAAATGGATTTAAATAGAAAATAAAAACACAAGAGAAGGGAGGATGACATCAACAAATTAATGTTTTTTGAGGATCAGATGTGACAAGAGGGGCGGTAGGCAATGGAGATGGATGGAAAATTACAACGGCCCTCACTCCACAGCAAGAGTGGGTTCTAACAGCACTGCATTTCTGAGGTTCTGCAGGTCCTCAGACCTGCTGGGTGTAGGTTCTCCTCCACTATACGCAGTGTTGAGATAGGAACACACTTCTGGTCACGTGAAAGACTGGCTGGCATGCACCCTGGCTCCAGAGTCAACTAGAGCGGAGGAAACAAGCCGCAGTCAATGTAAGGAAGGGAACAGCGCTGTGTCTCACGAGCAGCCATCAGCTCCTCAGTTGCCTCCTGGCATTTATGATGGCACCAGGGGCTTGGCATCCTGTAATGGTCTCTGCTTTACAGGAGGTAAGTGGAGGCTTACATCACCAAGAAATTCCCTAAGTCACGGAGCTAACACGGTTACCGTGTTCTGCAAGACGGGAGGCCTCAGTGAGGTGTCACTTTGGCAGTGTCAACTTCACACCAATGTTAGAAAAATCACATGCAGGATTCATCTTGATAAACTCTATTTATAAAGAACGTAATGCAACAGGACTGTCAGGGCAAAAACTGACAATATTCCTTTATATCACATGATATTTAATAATATTTTAAATCCTTGATTTTAAATAAATTCCCTAAGTGAAAACTTAGCTGTAAGATTCATTCTTTTAGAACAGAGTTCGATGGTTTTCAAAAGTATCATCATGTTGTACAGTTCATCACAACTTAATGCCTGATTATCTTTATGATCCTAGAGGATCATAAAGTCACTCACTTCTCATTACCCAGAACTTTCTGGTCCTAGGTAGCATGAATCCGTGCTTTGTTTGTTTGTTTGTTTCTATGGATTCACCTATTCTGGGCAAGATCTGTGCACAAAGTCATGTGATGTCTGTCTGCTGTATAATAATAATCCTCTTGTACACTGTAAAGGTTTGTCGCTGGGGTTGGTTTAATACAACGCTGATTGGCCAGCAGCCAGGCAAGAAGCATAGGCGGGCAACCAAACTAAGGATGATGGGAAGGAGTTGGCAGCCAGACACAGAGAGAGCAAGATGGACATGCCGTACTAAGGAAAGGTACCACTACGTGGCGGAGCACAAGTAAGGACTATGGGTTAACTTAAAATGTAAGAGCTAGTTAATAATAAGCTCGAGCTATTGGCTGAGCGTTTATAAGTAATATTAAGCCTCTGTGTGGTAATTTAGGAAGCAGCTGCTGGGTACTTTTTTTTTTTTGTGAGACCAAGCTGCTCCAAGGCAGGAAGCAGGAAACTCCTGCCTGCATCTTGTCCTTTCATTACCTAGCATATTTTAAATGTTCACCTGTGTATACAATCATTTTGTTTCTCTTTATCGTGTGGGTGTGTGTGTTTGTGCATTGTGTGCATACCTGGAACTTTCAGAGACCAGAAGAGGGCAGTCAGATTAGCCAGAACTGGAGTTGCGGGTGGTCGTGAACCACCCCACGCATTCCGAGAACCAAAACTGGATCCTCTGCAAAAGCAGAGAGTGCTCTTAGCCCCTGACCGGCATCTTCACCCTGCTTCACCATTTCCTGCGCCCGAACACTACCCCACCGTGCAGGATGTGCACATTTTTTTATGTATGTGCTGCGATGTGATGCTGCTGTGAACCTTGTAGAGTGTTGTGGAGTCCACGTTCTCTGTGTCCTCAGCTCATGCGTGGGGTGGAGTTGGCTGGCACTCGTGGTATCTCACTGCCTACCTCCTAGAGGAGCTGTCGATTGTTTTTCCGCAAGGGCTGCACCATTCTCTGTTCTCAGCTGCAACAAATGTTTCCACATACAGGCCAGCACTTGTTATTGTCTATACGAGCCATCCCAGGGAGTGCATGGTCATCTCGTTGTGTTTTCAATTGTTTCTAAGAACAGTTTGCATGCGGGTAAATTCTGTAACTTATCTCTGCGGTAGTTTGAATGAAGGTGGTCCCCATGGACTCATGTATTTGGACACTTGGTGCCCAGGTTGGTGGGTCAGTTTTGGAAGGATTAGAAAGTGTAGCTTTGTTGGGGAAGGTATGTCACCAGGGGCAGGCTCGAGGTGTCAAATATTACGTGGTCCCTAATGGTCTCTCTCTGACATCAATGAGCTCTCAACGGTTTCCTGCTGCAATGTCCTTGCTCTACCATCATAGACTCTAACCCTCTGTAAGCCTAATTAAATACTACATATATACATACTATAATATTTATATACATATTATACACATACATGATGGGGGAAGTCCTTCTGTGTATATGTCAATAAAGCACTGTTGGCCAATAGGAAAGCAAGATAGGTGGGATTAGGAGTCTAGGAGGATTCTGGGAAATGTAGTCAAGTGAGTCATCTCCATGTGACCACAGGAAGAGGATGCATGAGGCTGCGTCCTTGGAAAGATAAGTTCTTATAGAAAACATATATATTAGTAATTGTGGCTTAATAATTAAGTCAGAGCTAGCTGATTAGAAACCATACCAAACGGCCAATAGCTTCATAATTAATATAGTGCCTTGTGTGTTATTTGGAGGCTAAAGGATCCCCCAGGATCAGGCAGGATCAGACAGGATCCCGCAACACATACATATATAGGTTTTCTTGGTTGTGTTGCTTTGTCACAGCAATAGACAGGTAGCTAAGACAATCTCCATCACCGTAGGTCTCTGAAAAAAATCTACTTGCTTGTCTTTACAGCCCTATGTGATAGATCCCGTCCCATTCACTCCCTAGGGCTCTATCTGAAGACTGCACTGTGGAGTCAGTTAGAGGAAAATGATCATCTCCAAGAGCCCCAAGGCAAGTAAATCATCCTCTCTATGGTTTGCGGCATTATTACCAGGTCACTTGGCCAGGGATGAGAAACCAGGGGAGAGACGCCGAAGAGACCCTCTGAACTGAGCCCACCATTAGAATATCTGAATCTGAGGCGCAACCTGCACCTACAATATGTCTTTTTGATGACTTGCCCCCATTCGCTCTTAAAGCCGGGAAGATGACAATAAAAAGACTCTGTATCATGTAAAATGACGTGTTTTATTTTTTTCGTATTTGTTCCCTCAAGAAGCGGCATTGCAAAGCAATAGCACCTGTGAAAGCCAGGGCCTGCATCATTCATGAGCTCTGTGCGGCTGTGGCAGGGAAGCAGATATTTCAGTTCTCAAAACTCAAGACACAATTTACCTTTTGTCGGAGCCTTGTTATAAATCCTGTTTGTACATGTGTATACAGAGCCGTTTTATATTAGACGCCCCGGCTATAGGAAATGGTGACTTGCTGCTGTTCATCAATCAGAACGAGACCCCGGCTTGTAAAAGGAGGTTTCTTTTGATAAGAGAAGCCTAAGGATGACAAAAGGCCACCCCGTCCCCAGCTAGCCCCAAACTCCCGGCATTTAAATATGTATTGCGTATGACACCCACCCTCAGGGAGGCGGAGAGACAAAAGGAACCTTATGAGTTCACGTTAACACTTACATGGCTACTTTATCGTCTCAGGAAGATATCACTAAAATGTTCTTCATTTAGCCCAAATCAACTTGCTGCCATGTCTAATTTCACTGAGTTTCTAGAGCTGATCGATTGCACACATGTCTCATTCCTAGGGTTCTTCGAGGGCTGCTTTACCCAACACCCGTTCAATATCCAGTGTCTAAAAGGCACTGGGCCACCCTTGTCTCCTTGGTCGACAGCCAGCTAGACATTGCCTGTTATCTGGACACACCCGCTCCAGGAGACTACGTCCATCAAACTTCCCTCCGCCTGAACCCTTCATCTAGAGCTGAAAATCTCCCTCCCACATCCCTGTTTGTGATCAGCTGTTTCATTGTCCTCCAAATACTCTCTCCTACCACCCACTCTGCAGTAAGAGTGACCAGGCCCTGGAGTTTGGGTCTGTGTTCTTCCACTTTGATATATCTAGGACCCAAACAGCTTTTTTAGCTTGTGGCTTTTCCATCATTTATATATATGTTTGACAAATGAAAAGTATGGAAACGGCTGCTGTTCATCGGTCTCTGTTTTTTACTTCTCCAGGCCTTTTTTTTTTTCAAAAGAATAAATGCATTAGCTTCTTTTTTTTTTTTTTGGTTTTTTTGAGACAGGGTTTCTCTGTGTTTTTGGAGGCTGTCCTGGAACTAGCTCTTGTAGACAAAGCTGGTCTTGAACTCACAGAGATCTGCCTGCCTCTGCCTCCCGAGTGCTGGGATTAAAGGTCTGTACTGCCACTGCATTAGCTTCTTTTGAAATTCTGAGTCTGGAGCAAGTCTCCATGTGTTCTGTTCCTATCCAGCCTCTTCTTCCTCATTGTACCTGTTTCTCTCACTCTGCTTACTCTGTCTAGTCCTGCTGATGCCTGGCTGTTGGACACCAGTGCTGGTCCCTTTCCAGGAGAAACGATCATCTCCCTTCAACACCTGCTACAGATGTTTAGGCTTCATCTTGTTTTTTTATTTGTTTTGTTTTGAGTTTGGGTTTGTTTGCTTGTTTGTTTGTTTGTTTGTTTTTCTTTAAGGGTACTTATCTATTTATTTCTGAGGTGGGTCTTCATGCAGCCCAAGTCCACTGTGAATGATCCGGGTTGCTAGCCATGGTAACCCTGAGCCCCTGATTGTCCTGTGCAGGGCCCAGTTTATGTGGCACTGGGCATGAAATCCAGGGCTTCGTGTGTAGTCTTCTGGTCTAGGCAGTACTTTATCAGCTGGGTGAATTCCCAGAATATTGGCTTTTATCACCACTAATGCCCAGACTCCTGTGGGGATGGTGTCACAATCGTCTGTGACACAATTTGACAAATTCTCCCTCTCACATTCTCTCCTGACTCAAGCTTCTCACGTCCATGCCGCCCATGCTGACCGGCTAGCCAATGGGCCACTGCAACATTCTCCCAGTGTGCCATGAAGCACCTGGGAAGCCTTGGGACTCCTGCCACAACCCCAAGCTACTTTTGCAGAGAAAGGACTTAAATGGTGCTGGGTAAGGTGGGACAGCTTGGGTAGAATTCATGGGGCAGAAGGTGCCCTGCTACTTGACTAATGTTGAGAGCAAAAAATAAACATAACTGTGCTGTGGGTTGGGCAGAGGGCGATTATGTGTGGGGACTGAGAGGCTGAGCTTCTGCTGGTGTGGGAGCTAACCAGGTCCAGCAGTTAGCTCTGAGTGTGGTCAGCAGCCGGCCCCACATTCACAGTGAAGCCCCATGTTGTTCTCAGGGCCTCCCAGAATCTCCCATCAGATAAGGCCACTCTCTGCAGTGAACAAGCGACTATGGAGCAAACAGGGTTCAGAATCTCATCTAAGCCCAGATGAAAACAAGGTCGCTCGCAAACCACAGATACCAAATGTCTCCTCTCTCAGCTAACACGGAGAAGACTGCCTCTTCCCGGCTACACTGGCTGGTGCCTTTGCTTGTAATCCTGGATGTGTAGACAAGGCAAATCGGTCAAATCAAGCATTCACTGGTAATAAGTCACGAAGAAGTTTATTTTAAAATAGTCATTTGGTATTCATGTAATTTTACTGTCTATTGAAGACAAAAGAAAACTTGTAGAGTGAAGCCTTTTCCTTGCCAGCCGCTTTGGTTTTTCCCCACCAGTCACCTGGGCTCTGCCGCGTTGTAGTCCCCAAATAACACACAAGATGCTGTATTAATTATGAAGCTGTTGGCCTTGCTTGTTTCTTACTGGCTAGCTCTGACTTAAGTATTTACTCCATAATTGTTAATCTTAAGTATTTCTATTACCGGAAAAAGGTCCGACTTCTTACCCCCATGGCTGCTACATGATGACTCCCTGTGTTTCTCCTTCCCAGAGTCCTCCTGGACTCCTAGTCCCACCTATCTTTCTTCCCTATTGGCCAACAGTGCTTTATTGACATATACACAGCACTTCTCCAACAAAAACTTACACACTAATGAAATGTGGGGGTGTTTTCTAACACAATACCATCCAAAGGCATGCTAATGCCGTATGTGTTGAGAAAAGATGTGGAAGAGGATCTCAATGTTTTCTTTTCTGTGATTAAATCCTGATGTCTATGCCGCTGGGAAGCCTTGATGTGTTTAGTCAGAGCGCCACGGTTCACAACGTTCAGTAGTCTGGAGTCTGAGGGTATTTCAGGCAGCGTTTGTAGGTGTCGTGTGGTGTGACAACAGTGTATGCACGTAGTGTGTGTGTGTGTTGTGTGTTCGGAACCAAGGCAACAATGAAGTCATGCAGTACGGCACGGCGGGCACTTCTAGAAACAAATAGGATTTGTCACCTTGAACTTTGACTTAGTCTTTAGACGTTGCACACTCAGGAGTGTTGGGGAAGTCCTGTGTATATGTCAATAAAGCACTGTTGGCCAATAGGGAGCCAAGATAGGTGGGACTAGGAGTCCAGGAGGATTCTGGGAAGGAGAAACACAGGGAGTCGAGATGTAACGCCATGGGGTAGGAAGCCTGGAGACTTCTCCGGTAAGAGACATACTTAGGCCTGGGAATCCAGCATGGGACTGATCAAGACCTCCTGAATGTGGGTGTCAGTGAGGAGGCCTAGGTAATCTATTGAGCCTTGGGCAGTAGATCAGTACTCATCCCAAGTACACACGGACTTTGAACTCCCATCCAACAATGTGAGATGCACTGTCACCCTGAACTCTTGGGGGAGGGTCTAGGCCCTGCCCTGGATGAAATGACAGACTATGGACACCCCCATGGAGGGCCTCACCCTCCCTGGGGAAATGAGGGGATAATGGGGGGGTTGGGAGAGGGCACGGGAGGAAGGGAGGGAAAGGGAGAGGGACCTGGAACTGACTTGTGAAGCAACTTTGTTTCTAATCTAAATTTAAACTTAAAAATAAATTTAAAAAAAAGAGACATACTTAGATTAACAATTATGGGGTAATTACTTAAGTCAGAGCTAGCCAGTAAGAAATAAGCAAGGCCAACAGCTTCATAATTAATACAGCGTCTTGTGTATTATTTGGGGACTACAATGTGGCAGAGCCCAAGTGACTGGCAGGGAAAAACCAAAGCGACTGGCAGAGGAAAAGCCTTCCCTTTACACAGGAACATTTTTTTTTTGCTGAATTTTTGCAAGCCCCGCATTCAGTTATGTGACCTCCTAGGAGCCATGGCCTGCAGTTAGTTAGTAAGCTTTGACTTGTCTGGAGGATTGCCTTGGTGTTTATGGCAGCTTGCTGCTCTTCCAGAGGACTGCAGGTTGCTTCTCAGAACCCACCCATCAGGTGGTTCACAATGCCTCTAACTCCAGCTGCAGGGAATCCCAAGTCCTCTTCTGGCCTCCACAGGCACCCCCTCCACACACACACACACACACACACACACACACACACACACACACACACACGCAGGCACGCATGCACGCACGCACGCACGCATGCACGCACACACAGAGAGACACATAAACATAAACAAAAAATACTGTACAAAGGAAAAGCTTTAAGATATATGGTCCTGAAATTAACCCCCACTTCCCAACAACGTCCTGTCCGGATGAAAGCCCTCCTTCCTGGAGCCTTCCCAAGTCACCCGACATGGGAACAAATCCTGTTAAAATCCTTCTAACTCTCTTGTTCAAGCTGCCCTCACTTTCCGGGGTGCGCATTTTATTCTAGTAAGGAATGGTAGGCGCAGCTGTCTAGCTTTACCTGGGTCATCTGTGACTGGAGCACAGGGACTCTGGGATAGGAATTCTCCTTCCCTGGCTGAATGGCTTAGGTCATTGTTTGGCATGATGAGGTGCTGGGCAGACAGGCAGAAGGTGGTGACTGGAATCCAGGCTGTAACTGGGTGTTTGAGGATAGCTAAGGTTTGCAGTGTTGAGAATTGCACAAGATGCCCAAGGATAGAGAAGTAAGCCTCAAGGACCTGATGAGCTGTCCCCAAAGGGGTATCTTTTGCTTGAAACTTCAGAAGCAGTAGTCTAATGCCTTGGATGCTTCAACTGGTATCTTAGCTTTTAAAAAATATTTTAACATTATTTCCTCTGTGCTCCAGGCATCTTTCCAACCACTGCAGATACAG